CTCGCTCTCTCTCTCTCTCTCTCTCTCCTTCTGCCTCTCAAATTAAAAAAAAAAAAAAAAGTCTACAGAAGATGTGTTATCAAAAAACTACATATAGATTTCAAAAATTTTCTGCACCAAAATAAGCTTGACTTCTAATTCTATTTTCCCTGAACTTACCATCTGAGAGGCAGAAGGTGGGGATGGAGAAAGTCTCCGAACTTTTTGAAGTATGCTCAGCCAGTCTGTGTCGATTTGTTATCAGCAGCCACAGAAGAAATATGGCAGGTATTAGATACGGCACACAAAGTACCAGCTATTTGCCATTCCTCAGCTGTAGATGCAGTTGAAAGAGCACTGGCGTCAGCATCCTGCTTTATACCTTACTTCTGCCGTGACTGGGTTCATTTTCCAATCTGGACAATGGACAGAATGATGTCATCTTGGCTATGTAAGAAGTACTTGGGAACAATCACCAAGTCTTACATCATCCCTACCAATTTTCTACCCAAGAATTTGAAAGTAGAAAAATAAATTTCTTCCCTGTGTACTAAAGTAAAAAGTAAAATGTAACAAAGCAAAGTAGGAAATTATAAAGTTACCTTAAATTCTTTCGGGGCCAGCGCTGTGGCTCACTTGCTTATTCCTCCGCCTGCAGCACCGGCATCCCATATGGTCACCAGGTTCTAGTCCTGGTTGCTCCTCTTCCAGGCCAGCTCTCTGCTGTGGCCCGGGAAGGCAGTGGAGGATGGCCCAAGTGCTTGGGCCCTGCACCCGCATGGGAGACCAGGAGGAAGCACCCAGCTCCTGGCTTTGGATTGGCGCATCTCTGGCCATAGCGGCCATTTGGGGGGTGAACCAATGGAAGGAAGACCTTTCTCTCTGTCTCTCTCTCTCACTGTCTAACTCTATCTGTCAAATAAATTTAAAAAAATACTTTGAAGAGCAAAGAACTGATTATAACATGTTTGAAGGTGTTAACCTGTTTAATAGAAGCAGGTTTTAGCATATATATTAAAGAAAAAGACATCAGGTTCTACCACTTAGTAATATTATTATTTTGCACAACTTATTTTACTCCACCATTTATGGTCTTATTTTATCTCTTTATAATCAAGATTGTAACTTGGAATCAGTGGGATGATCCATATAAAGTTTTCAGCATAACACCTGGCATAGAGTCTGTTTGTCTTTTTAAGAGAGATTTGGTTAAACACAGAGGCTTAGTAAAGGGTGTATCAGAAAAAAACAAAATAAACAGCATCTGTTGGGAAATATAAGGACCAGTGAATAAAATTCCCTGTCCAAGTTACGGACCATCCAGTTGTGATAAATGAGCCTAATGCCTGGAGACCAAAGTTGCAGGGTCATAACCCACCCAAACGAGGGCGGACTGGGTCCGAGGAAAGGTAAGTGTGCCGCTCGCCCATTCCCCAGCTTCCCTTGATCCCGGAGACAATCAGATGCCTCGGCGGGGAGTAAGGTCAAGCAGGAATTCATTTATTATTGTGCAGTAAGCCTCTTTTAAAGCAGAAAACCGCAGAGCTATAGGGGAGGGGAAGAGAAGCCAGCCATCATTTTAAAGGTTACCCTATCATGCGCTCGGTTTCCATAAGGTCCATGCGCTAATGTCATCTCTCCTGATGCCTGTGCCCAATCCAGTTTTCTTGTAAACAACTTGGACTCCGCCCGGCTAACATCTTCTTGGCGCCATCTTTGCCACCCTCATGCCCCGCATAAAATATCAGGGGATTATAGAATACTTTTAGGGTCAAAGCTTTATGCATTGATTTTAGATCTTAATCCAATTACTATGCTTTGGTTCTTTGTGTCCTATGTCTTCATTCCCCAGCAGAGTCCAAGTTTTGCCCCTAGTCATCTATTTTGAGGAGTCTCTATCCCAGCTACAGTTGACATCTATCCTCTTCAGCTGCTCAGAATTTGAACCCCCTTTCTCTGTCTACAGGGAGATTTCCCACTCAATAAGGTAGAGCCAACTCTGACTGTAGAAGCTCAAATGCCCCGTATTCATTTTCCTAGCCTTTCCTGAAGCTTTGTGACATAGACTCTGCTCCCCAGACCTGTCTACGCTAGTCTGTGATCAGGAGAAATTGACTCAGGGGCAAGTGGTGTACAAAATCTAGTCTCGTGATGGAAAAGAGTGAAAGAAGCGGCTCATCCAGTTTCCTGAGACATCAGCAATGCTGTGCTGCCAGCAGAATTCAACATCCAGTATGGTTCAGGCCTGCATCTGTTTGTGCAACTGTCAGTGAGCCTAGTGTTTTCACTGGACCCGTTCACTGGTATAATTGCTCCTGGCTGGGTACCACCTCTACACCTGGTCTCTATCCTTCACAGAGATTATGGGAACTAACAAAGCATCTTAATGAAGTCCTTGCCAATAAATCATAGAATCTTTCAGGTGCTTGCCAGTAGAAACTCTGATGAATACTGCACATCCACTTCAAGTAGTTTGGCAAGTGAGTCTGGAGTGAATTCCAGGTGGGCTGTCATGAAGAGGATTTTGATTCTGTGGCACAAAAGGATTTTTGTGTGTTCTTACTGCATTCCTCCTTGTGCTTCTGGGTCCAGATTAGGATACCCTACAGTTTGCCTTATCATTTAGGAAAGAGCTGTTCCTCAGAGTGAATGCTCAGAATGAACCAATAACTTAAACAAATCTTGATTTAAGATCTCACCAGGTGAATCTTTTCAGAATCACTAGAAGTAACTACATATCCACCCTCCATCCAACCAACTAACGAAATATTCACCAATGTTAATTTGGGGACCAGGACTATAGTTTCTCAAAGAAGCCATGACTTTTCATTCCATGTCCCACAACACTACATATTTTCATGACAGTGCTGGTAACAATCTGAAATTATCTTATTTATTGTACGCCTGTGGTCCCTATTTCACAGGACTGCCTTGTTGGTCTTGTTCATGGAATACTGCCTAAATCTTGACTGATGAAGATTCGTACAGTGAACCAGGAATCAGGCTTGGCATTGTGGTGCAATGGGTTAAGCCATCCTTTGTGGCACTGGCATCCTTAATTGGAGGGCCAGTTCAAGATCTGGCTGCCCTGCTTCCCATCCAATTTTCTGCTAAGGTACCTGGGAAAGCAACAGAGGATGGCCCAAATGCTTGGGTTCCTATCTCCAACATGGGAGATGGAGTTTCACATTCCTGGTGTCAGCCTGGCCCAGCCTGGCCTTTGTGGCCATTTGGGGGAATGAACCAGTGGATGGAAGACCTCTTTGTGGATCTCCCACTCCCTGTCACTCTGCTTTTCAGAAAAATAAAATAAGCTTTTAAAAAAAGAATCAGGAGTTGGTTTTAGATAGAAAATTCTTCTCTTGGGTTCTGATTGGAGCAGAGTTAAGGGATGGCCACTGCTGACCAGAAGGTTACTGTGAAAAGACATGAAGAAATCCCCAAACTGTATAGAATATATGGAGGAATCTTTGGGGCGTCCCATTTGGTCTGAATACTTTTCCTTAGATCAAGCCAGTTCATGGCTGATGTTAGTCCTCCAAGGGAGAGCTTGGGATTTTGTGAGTTGGTACTCTAAGGGAGAGCAAGTTGGGAAGAGGGAAACTAGGCTATCCAGGAACGCTGCCTCTTCAGCTGGTAATAGAAACTCTTTTAAGATTCCTCTGTAGCAGTGGTTCTCAAACCCTGGTGGGTATCACAATCACGTGCCCATTTGGTAAAAATACTAAGGTATCTTGTGTTCTCTTAGTTCATCAGCTAATTCTGATACACGCTAAAATTAGTAAACTACTGCTCATAATAGAATCCTAGCTCCTCAGAGTGTTACCAGTTAAATAAATGGGTCATCAGATTAGGTCTGTTTCCCTACTACAGACGATTCAGCGTCATGGAAATGCCAGTGTGCACTGTGAATCTTCCAGAGCAGAAAGGGTGTACAAGTGCCTCCCCCACTTACTGACCATGCAGGCGTCTCTTCTAGTGGGCATGTAGTAACATCTTCCACAGCCACAGTAGTTAAGTGTCCTGCGTAGACTTTAGCAAGCACTTCAGAAGTGCAATCACTGAGCACCACTCCATTTTCTTACAAAAGTCTTCAATTCTCTCTCTCTCTCTCTCTGAAACAGAACTGGAAAAGTATTATACACACCCAGATTTCATGGATAATTCTAAGAATTTTTTCTATTACAGACAGTGCTTCTTCTAAGTGCTTCTTTGTGTAAAAGGAAAACCTGACTCTTTACAATATAACTCATGTGGTCTAGTTTTACCAAAAAAGAAAAAAACCTGACTGTCTACAATATACACTCACATGCTATAGTTTTACCCCTGCCCCCCAAAAAAGCCATGTAGGAAACATCTATAGTGACAGCCATTCTCATTTTAGTCTTGTCTTAGTAAGTCACCAGAGTCAAAGCATTAGGTTAAACCACAAGAAATTGTCATTTTTGTCAAATATTCGTAATTTCGTATAGACTCTATAAACTGTTAACACTCATAGTTAACAACCAGAGGACAAAATTTTAGGTGCTTTAAGGTTTGCCAAGAGCCCTGCTTCTCCAAAGTAGTCTCTGCACCAGCAGCACCCAGCAGCCCTGGGAAACCTGTTAGCCATGCACTGTCCCAGGTCTCACCTCTTATCTATGGAATTGTGATCTGCATTTTAAGTGGACCCCTGTGTGACTCGTTTACACCCATCTAGAGATGCAGCTCTTAACCAGGGCTCCAGAAACCCTGGGAGGAGCAGTTGTGGACCCTCTCCTCACCACCTCTTACCTGAGCATTTGTGTTACTCTTGTGAAGGGGGAGAAGTGGATATTCCCCACTGGCTCACTTTGTCAAAGGCTGGGATAGTAGTCCTCACAGATTCACTCAGGGTATGCAGCAAGAGGAAAACTCTTCCTGAGTTTTTGTCATCCAATACATTATACAAATTAATTTAATGCATATAATAGAGAAGAAATTGCTTTGTAATTCCAGTTAATTAATGAATCCATTGCTTAGGCTTTTATCATTGTTTTTAGGCTGCTTAGCACAAGTGAACTAAAAACGAAGCTCAAGCTTGTCTTCTCTAGCTCTTCCTAGTGTTCGCCTCCACTGCTGAAATAGCCTGCCGAGTGCACCACCCAGAGGATCATTCAGGTAATCCATTCCCTTTTTTTCTGTTCACATGGGCCTTTCTCCAGCCTCCAGCATTTTGCTATAGGCCCCAGTTCTTTGCCTTGCCTTGCCCTTGGTTTTAAGTAGTTTTATCGTAATGTATCTGATTGTGACTTACCTTGTATTTGTGCTGCTTTGTGGTTGTTTATTGAATCTGAGGCATTATCTTCAAATATTTCTTCTGCCTCATTCTGTCCTATCTTGCTGGGCACATATTATATGTGTTTTTCCACTCTGTTGCACATGTCTCTTGCACTCTTTTTTTAAATTGTTTTTCTATCCCCATTCCTCAGTGCTTTGATTTGTAAATTTTCTGTTAATCATTCTTCCAGCTCCTTAGTCTTATCTTCCTTTGTATCTGATCTCTATTAAATTCATTTCAGATACTATATTTTTAATTCTAAAATCCCATTTGATTATTTTTAAAGATTACAGTCCCCTCAGAAGTTCTTCATTTAACAATCTTTCTCTATTTTCTTGAACATCTTATCAGAGTTATTGTAAAGTCTTCATCTGCTAGCTTCAATACCTATATCACCTATGGTTCTATTTCTATTACCTTTTTCCTCTCTTGGTTTTCAATAATAGGGTCCTGACTCAGCACATCTGAAATTTTTTAATTGAATTCTGGTCATTGTACATAAAAATTCCATAGCCTCCAAATAGCCTTTTCTTTATCCACAGTGTGTTCACCCTTTTCTCTGCTAAGCTGATGAAATTTGGGCTTACTGATCTCTCGGGTTGCTTGCAAGATGGCAGAATAGGAAGGGAGCACATTGACAGTCCGGGAAAAGACAGTTTAATAAAAGTGGAGATACTGCAGGTTCAAAGAAGAGTTAGGGAAGAAACAGCAGAGGAAACTCTTCCGGAACTGCTGGTTCACGGTGGACCTACATGGAGGGCATGACCGCCCACGGCTCAGGACCCCAGCCGTGGAATCTATGCACCAGCGCTGGAAAGGGAGGAGCCAGAGATCAGAAATTGACTCCCTTCAATTCCGTTCAGCTGTGCAGAATTACTTCCCTTCTGAATCAAAAAAGAGAGAGAGAGAGAGATTTACCACGCCTAACCTGGGTGTGTCACCTTTGGCACACCCTTAACCCTGAAGAACCAAACAGAGCTCTCTGGCCACACCCATAAGAAGACTCTAAGGATCCATCAAAAGCAGACAGTCTACTTAATACAGTCATAGTATAACGAGAAAAAACACCACAGCAAGGGAAGAAGAAACCAAAGAGTATCTCCACAATGCCAAGCAACAAACGCAGAAAATGAGGAAACAAGACCAAGGAAGACATTATGACGCCCCCAAATGAACAAGAAACCCCAATCCAAGATTATGAAGATAATGAGATAGAAGAAATGCAAGATATGGATTTCAAAAAAATTATGATAAGAACATTTAGAAGTTTTCAAAAACAAATTCTTGATCTACAGAAATACTTACTGGACAGAATAGAAAATCTCTCTCGTGAAAATGAAATCTTAAGGAGGAATCAAAATGAAATGCAGAAACTACTAGAACAGGAAAGTGTGATAGTGAAGAGAAATCAAAATGAAATGAAGAATTCAATAGATCAAATGAAAAACACATTAGAGAGCCTTAAAAACAGAGTCAGTGAAGCAGAAGAGAGAATATCGTACTTAGAAGACAGAGCACAGGAAAGTATACAGTCAAACCAAAGAAAAGAAGAGGAAATTAGAAATCTAAAATATATTGTCGGGAATCTACAGGATACTATTAAAAAACCCAACATTCGAGTTCTAGGAGTTCCTGAAGGCATGGAGAGGGAGAAAGGATTAGAAGGCCTTTTTAGTGAGATAGTAGCAGAGAACTTCCCGAGTTTGGAGAAGGACAGAGACATCCTAGTACAGGAAGCTCATAGAACCCCTAGTAAACATGACCAAAAGAGATCCTCACCACGACACGTTGTAATCAAACTCACCACAGTGAAACATAAAGAAAAGATTCTAAAATGTGCAAGAGAGAAACATCAGATTACTCTCAGAGGATCTCCAATTAGACTCACAGCGGACTTCTCATCAGAAACCCTACAGCCTAGGAGGGAATGGCAAGACATAGCCCAGGTACTAAGAGAGAAAAACTGCCAGCCCAGAATATTATATCCTGCAAAGCTCTCATTTGTGAATGAAGGTGAAATAAAGACCTTTCATAGCAAACAGAAGTTGAAAGAATTTGTCGCCACTCGTCCAGCCCTGCGAAAGATGCTTAAAGATGTGTTACACACAGAAACACGGAAACACGGTCATCAATATGAAAGAAGGTAAAGGAAGGAAACCTCACAGCAAAAGATCACAGGAAGTTCAAAGCATATATTAGAAAATATCTTTTGCAAATGGCAGGGCAAAGTTACTACTTATCAATAGTCACATTGAACATTAATGGCCAGTTAAAAGACACAGATTGGCTGATTGGATTAAGGAACAAAACCCATCTATTTGCTGCTTACAAGAAACACATCTTTCCAACAAAGATACATGCAGACTGAAAGTGAAAGGCTGGAAAAAGATATACCATGCCAACAGAAATGAAAAAAAGAGTGGGCATAACCATCTTAATATCAGACAAAATAAACTTTACCACAAAAACTGTTAAGAGAGACAAAGAGGGCACTATATAATGATTAAGGGATCAATTTAACAGGAAGATATAATGATTATCAATGTATATGCACCTAATTACAGGACACCAATTTATTTAAAAGATTTGTTAAGGGACTTAAAGGGAGGCTTAGACCCCAATACAGTAGTACTGGGGGACTTCAATACTCCACTCTCAGAAATAGACATATCAAGAGGACAGAAGATCAACAAAGACACAGTAGATTTAAACGACACTATAGCCTAAATTGATCTAACAGATATCTACAGAATTTTTCATCCTACACATAAAGCATTTACATTCTTCTCAGCAGTACATGGAACCTACTCTAGGAATGACCACATACTAGGCCATAAAGAAGTCTCAGCAAATTCAAAAGAATTAGAATCATACTATGCAGCTTCTCAGACCACAGTGGAACGAAGCTGGAAATTAGCAACTCAGGAATCCCTAGAGCATACGCAAACACATGGAGATTGAACAACATGCTCCTGAATGAACACTGGGTTATAGAAGAAATCAAAAACCTTCTGGAAGTAGATGAGGATAACAGCACAACATATCAAAACTTGTGGGAGGGGTGCCAGATTCTGTCCCGGTTGCCCTTCTTCCAGGCCAGCTCTCTGCTGTGACCAGGGAGTGCAGTGGAGGATGGCCTAAGTACTTGGGCCCTGCACCCCATGGGAGACCAGGATAAGTACCTGGCTCCTGCCATCGGATCAGCGTGGTGTGCTGGCCGCAGCACGCTGGCCGTGGCGGCCATTGGAGGGTGAACCAACGGCAAAGGAAGACCTTTCTCTCTGTCTCTCTCTCTCTCTCACTGTCCACTCTGCCTGTCAAAATAAAAAATACAAAAAAAAAAAAAAACTTATGGGATACAGCAAAGCAGTGTTAAGAGGAAAGTTTATAGCAATAGGTACCTACATCAAGAGATTGGAAAGGCACCAAATAAATGAGCTTTCAATGCATCTCAAGAATCTAGAAAAACTGCAGCAAACCAGACCCAAATCTAGTAGGAGAAGAGAAATAATTAAAATTAGAGAAGAAATTAACAGGATTGAATCCAAAAAAAATTACAAAAAATCAGCCAAACGAGGAGCTGGTTTTTTGAAAAAATAAACAAAATTGACACCCCATTGGCCCAACTAACTAAAAAAAGAAAAGACCCAAATCAATAAAATCAGAGATGAAAAAGGAAATGTAACAACAGACACCACAGAAATAAAAAGAATCATCAGAAATTACTACAAGGACTTGTATGCCAGAAAACAGGGAAATCTATCAAAAATGGATAGATTCCTGGACACATGCAACCTACCTAAATTGAACCATGAAGACATAGAAACCTAAACAGACCCATAACTGAGAAAGAAATTGAAACAGCAATAAAGGCCCTCCCAACAAAGAAAAGCCCAGGACCAGGTAGATTCACTGCTGAATTCTACCAGACATTTAAAGAAGAACTAACTCCAATTCTTCTCAAACTATTCAGAACAATCGAAAAAGAGGGAATTCTCCCAAATTCTTTCTATGAAGCCAGCATCACCTTAATCCTGAAGCAGGAAAAAGATGCAGCATTGAAAGAAAATTACAGACCAATATCCCTGATGAACACAGACACAAAAATCCTCAATAAAATTCTGGCCAATAGAATGCAACAACACATCAGAAAGATCATCCACCCAGACCAAGTGGAATTTATCCCTGGTATGCAGGGATGGTTCAATGTTTGCAAATCAATCAGTGTGATACACCACATTAACAAACTGCAGAAGAAAAACCATATGATTATCTCAATAGATGCCGAGAAAGCATTCAATAAAATACAACACTATAACTCTAAGCAAACTGGGTATAGAAGGAACATTCCTCAGTACAATCAAGGCAATTTATGAAAAACCCACGGCCAACATCCTATTGAATGGGGAAAGGTTGGAAGCATTTCCACTGAGATCTGGTACCAGGCAGGGATGCCCACTCTCACCACTGCTATTCAATATTGTTCTGGAAGTTTTAGCCAGAGATATTAGGCAAGAAAAAGAAATTAAAGGGATACAAATTGGGAAGGAAGAACTCAAACTATTCCTCTTTGCAGATGATATGATTCTCTATTTAGGGGATCCAAAGAACTCTACTAAGAGACTATTGGAACTCATAGGAGAGTTTGGCAAAGTGGCAAGATATAAAATCAATGCACAAAAATCAACAGCCTTTGTATACACAGGCATTGCCACAGCTGAGAAAGAACTTCTAAGATCAATCCCATTCACAATAGCCACAAAAACAATCAAATACCTGGGAATAAACTTAACCAAGGACGTTAAAGATCTCTACGATGAGAATTACAAAATCTTAAAGAAAGAAATAGAAGAGGATCCAAAAAAATGGAAAAAATCTTCCATGCTCATGGATTGGAAGAATCAATATCATCAAACTTTACATTCTCTTAAAAGCAATTTATAGATTCAATGCGATACCAATCAAAATACTGAAGACATTCTTCTCAGACAGAGAAAAAATGATGCTAAAATTCATATGGAGACAGAGGAGACCTCGAATAGCTAAAGCAATCTTGTACAACAGAAACAAAGCCAGAGGTATCACAATACCAGATTTCAGGACATACTACAGGGTAGTTGTAATCAAAACAGCATGGTACTGGTACAGAAACAGATGGATAGACCAATGGAACAGAATAGAAACACCAGAAATCAGTCCAAACACCTGCAGCCAACTTATGTTTGATCAAGGATCAAAAACCAATCCCTGGAGTAAGGACAATCTATTCAATAAATGGTGCTGGGAAAACTGGATTTCCACGTGCAGAAGCATGAAGCAAGACCCCTACTTTTCACCTTACACAAAAATCCACTCAACATGGACTAAAGACCTAAATCTACGACCTGACACCATCCAATTATTAGAGAACATTGGAGAAGCCCTGCAAGATATGGGTACCGGCAAAGACTTCTTGGAAAAGACCCCGGAAGCACAAGCAGTCAAAGCCAAAATTAACATTTGGGATTGCATCAAATTGAGAAGTTTCTGTACTGCAAAAGAAACAGGAAAGTAAGGAGGCAACCAACAGAATGGGAAAAAATATTTGCAAACTATGCAACAGATAAAGGGTTAATAACCAGAATCTACAAAGAGATCAAGAAACTCCAAAACAACAAATCAAACAACCCACTTAAGAGATGGGCCAAGGACCTAAACAGACAGTTTTCAAAAGAAGAAATCCAAATGGCCAACAGACACATGAAAAAATGTTCAGGATCACTAGCCATCAGGGAAATGGAAATCAAAACCACAATGAGGTTTCACCTTACCCCGGTTAGAATGGCTCACATACAGAAATCTACCAACAGATGCTGGCGAGGATGTGGGGCAAAAGGGACACTTAACCCACTGTCGGTGGGAATGCAAACTGGTTAAGCCACTATGGAAGTCAGTCTGGAGATTCTTCAGAAACCTGAATATAATCCTACCATACAATCCAGCCATCCCACTCCTTGGAATTTACCCAAAGGAAATTAAATTGGTAAACAAAAATGCTGTCTTAACCTCAATGTTTATTGCAGCTCAATTCACAATAGCTAAGACCTGGAATCAACACAAATACCCATCAACAGTAGACTGGATAAAGAAATTATGGGACATGTACTCTAGAGAATACTATACAGCAGTCAAAAACAATGAAATCCGGTCATTTGCAACAAAATGGAGGAATCTGGAACACATCATGCTGAGTGAAATAAGCCAGTTCCAGAGGGATAAATATCATATGTTCTCCCTGATCGGTGACAACTAACCGAGCACCAAAAAGGAAACCTGTTGAAATGAAATGGACACTATGAGAAAGAGTGACTTGATCGGCCCTTGTCCTGACTGTTGATGTACAACTTAATACTTTATCCCTTTTAGTATTTTTTGTTCTACTTAATACTATTGGTTGAACTCTGTAATTAACACACAATTATTCTTAGGTGTTTAAATTTAACTGAAAAGTGATCTCTGTTAAATATAATAGTGGAAATAAGAGAGGGAGGAGATGTACAATTTGGGACATGCTCAATCAGACTTGCCCCAAATGGTGGAGTTAGAAATGTGCCAGGTGATTCCAATTCAATCCCATCAAGGTGGCATGTACCAATGCCATCTCACTAGTCAAGGTGATCTACTTCAGTTCACAATTGATCATGCTGATAGGTCTAAGAGTCAAAGGGATCACACAAACAAGACTAGTGTCTGCTAACACTAACTGATAGAATCAAAAAGGGAGAGAACGATCCAACATGGGAAGTGGGATACACAGCAGACTCATAAAATGGCAGATGTCCTAAACAGCACTCTGGCCTCAGAATCAGCTCAAAAGGCATTCGGATCTGGCTAAAAAGCCCATGAGAGTATTTCAGGCATGGAAAGCCAAGACACACTGTCCGATACTACTACACAGAGAGCTTAAATGAAACGGCTCTGAGATTGAGATGAGATCCAGTAGAAAGACGGGCCATCAAAGAAGGAGGTACCTTTCTCTGAAGGGAGGAGAGAACTTCCACTTTGACTATGACCTTGTCTAAATGAGATCAGAGTTGGTGAACTCAAAAGGTTTCCATAGCCTTGGCAGCTCATGACAAGAGCCTAGGGAGATTACTGATGCCATAAACAAGAGTGTCAATTTGTTAAGTCGACAACAGGAGTCACTGTGCACTTACTCCCCATGAAGGATCTCTGTCCTTGATGTGTTGTTCAATGTGAATTAATGCTATAACTAGTACTCAGTATTTTACACTTTATGTTCTGTGTGGGTGCAAGCTGTTGAAATCTTTACTGAATGTATGCCAAACTGATCTTCTGTATATAAAGAGAATCGAAAATGAATCTTGATGTGAATGGAATGGGAGAGGGAGCAGGAGACGGGAGGGTTGTGGGTGGGAGGGAAGTTATGGTGGGGAAAAGCCATTATAATCCATAAGCTGTACTTTGGAAATTTATATTTGCTAAATAAAAGTTAAAAAAAAAAAAAAAGAAACTGGGGCTTACTATTGTAAATCAGGCTTGGAGTGAACTGAGTTGACAGTGATATTTAGCTCTGGGAAGGCTCTGTTTGCCTCTGATTTGTTCCTGTTACTATGCTGTTGCCCCTCATGGTTTTCAACTCATTGCCTGGTATGCTCCTTGGGCAGCCTTCCTTTGGGAGGGCATATCTTTATCTTCTCAGCATTATGAAACACAAGCCAGTTACTCTCTGATTTTCAGAGTTTGGGGTTAACTTTCAAGATCTAAATTTTACTTTTGTTTCTTTAGTACCATAAGTATGTGAAAAACATGTTTCTTGGCCGGTGCCGCTGCTCACTTGGCCAATCCTCCGCTTGCGGCGCCAGCACACCGGATTCTGTCCCGGTTGCCCCTCTTCCAGGCCAGCTCTCTACTGTGGCCAGGGAGTGCAATGGAGGATGGCCCAAGTGCTTGGGCCCTGCACCCCATGGGAGACCAGGAGAAGCACCTGGCTCCTGGCTTCAGATCGGCGCAGTGCCGGCCGCGGTGGCCATTGGAGGGTGAACCAACGGCAAAGGAAGACCTTTCTGTCTCTCTCTCACTGTCCACTCTGCCTGTAAAAAAAAAAAAAAGAGAGAGAGAGAGAAGAAAAGAAAAGAAAAAGAAAAACGTGCTTCTTTCTGTTTCTGACATTTTCTGCTTAATTTCTCAATCTTCTGCGAACACACCATCAAAAACTGGCATATGTCTGAGGCATTGTGTGTGGGGGGGGGCCTTCAATTCTTCAATCTCACCTTTACATCTCCACAACATTAGTGTCTTCACTGGTTTTTCTTTCTGACAGAAGTCTAGGAAAATGTTTAATTGCCAATGTCTTAGAATGTGCGAATACTGGAAAAAGTCATTATATATTGTCAACTCATCTCTCTGAGGAAGTTTTCTCCTTTTGAAAAACTTGGGCATTTTTGTGCTCTGATTTAGCAGCTAACTGATGTTTTTATTTTAGCTAAGTTACATTTTATCTTATGTGTGTGGCAGTTCTTGAAGGGAACATTGGTCGGTCACACAAATTACTCCATTCTACCAGGAACTGCTTGTTCTTATCTCACTTTCTGGATCAGCTCTTTGATCTTCATTTGATCAACACTTTGATCACATATTTACTTGGTTTTTTTGGGGGAGGGTTTCACTTCTGTATTCTATTTTTTGGATCATGCTTAGCTATGAGCTGTGCAAATCTCTCCTCCAGCCCATCAGATAAAATATTACCAGAAAAAATAACTACAAAACTGACTCAGTACAAGCTCAACACAAGAAGAGTCAAATGCAAGAAATGACTTTTGACTTTCTATGGAAGAGTGATTATCTGTACTGAAGTTAATGTTCTCCCAACAAAAGAAAGAGAATTACTTTCTCTAGGTATTCATCTCTGAAGAAGATTTTTTCATTTGAAATATTTCTAAATTCTCCTAATACTGAATCTAAGAATAAAATGCATGATGTCCTGAATGGAGAGCCTATTACTTCTAATTTCTTGATGACAGAAAATAGGAAAAATATTTGATGGATTAAAGATGTTTGAAAGGTCATGGATCCTGAGATCCGAGGTGGCACTCAAAAATAATGTCTTTCTATTTATGTTGAACTTCTATAAGGGTGGGAAGAGTTGAGCAGCCATGTAATCCTAGAATATAACGCTCTTGCTATAATTTAATGTGTTTTTTTTAAACCAACTGCAAGAGTCCTTGAAGGCAAATCACTCTGCAACTCAGTAACCGAGAGAATTTCAAATTGTTTGAGTTCTAAACAGACCTATTTTGTTGGCATAAGAGTGATTGGAAATAATACTAAATTACGTATTCCTATTCAAGAGAATAAACCTGAATAAGTGTACTTAACTTTGTTTACCAAATGACCACTTACATTGTTCCTAAAAATTCCCAACATTGGTCTTCAACTGCTTGAGTCTACTTGAGCTCAACATGCTATTCTCTCTCCTTATTTTTGCGTCATTATAATGTTCACTCATGCATCAGCCTAATACTGATTATTACTGTGCATCCTGTCTGAAGTGTTTAGAGTAGACTATTTTAATACTTGTGCCCTTGTAGGCATTTTTAAAAGCATCACTAATGATTCCAGTGCCTGAAACATTCAATAGTCTTTTAAAAATAGAACCTATTATAAATGCGGACAAAATGTCCATTCTCTCTCTCTCTCTCTCTCGCCAACGTGTAGATTTTTTTTTTTTTTTTTTTTTTTTGCTAATGCAATGCTTGATTCATTTGAAGCTCTTTCCTGAAGATTTTTACCTCTAAACAGCTGGCTCATAAAATAATAAAAGATGAAAATCATGTCATCCTAATAAAAACATTTGTACACTTGCCAACATTCCTCAGATTGATTTATCTAACCTGAGCTCGGTTGTGCTTCTACATCCATAATTCAGTGTTTCATTTTTGCCTTGGAGATAGATAGGTCTCAGAGATCTTTAGTTCCCTTCCTTTTTTATACTTGAGGAAACTGAGGTATGTTTGATGGGGTAACAGTCCAAGAATCACCTAAACAGTAGCATTGAAAGAACTATAGTCCAAATCCCTTGATTTTTCTCATTGAGAGTAAATAACAACTTTACTTTTGTTTTTTCTTTAAATTTTTATTTATTTTATTTATGTGAAAGGCAGAGAGAGAGAGAGAGGAGACACAGAGGGAGAGAGAGAGAGATACCTCACATCCATTGGCTCACTCCCCAAATACTTGCAAAAGTCAGGGCTGGGCCAGATGAAAGCCAGGAGCCAGTAACTCAGTCTTGGTATCCCATGTGGGTAGCAGGGATCCAAGTACTTGAGGCATCACTTGCTGGCTCCTAGGGTGTGCATTTAGGAAGCTGGAATTGGTAGTAGAGTCAGGATTCAAACAAATACACCAACATGAATTCAGGTGTCCCGATTGGTGTCTTAACTGCTGTCACAAATGCCCATCACCCCCCTCTCTGAATGTTTCCTTTTCATTTTCTGTGTTTTCTTTGGATTAACAGAAAGTCAAAATGTTAATGTAGTCAAGTTTATCAATTTGGTTTTCCTTTAAGCTTTAGTGCTTTTTGTTTCCTTCTCTGCTCAAGGTCATGAAGATATCTTCATGTATTAATTCTTGTTTTGCCATTGAATATAATAATTGCTTTAGATTTTTGGTATGAACTTTTCCCAGGTTACTATTGTCTCTATTTGCAGTTCAATAACTTTTTGTGTGTTTGTTTTTGCTATGTACATCACAAATGGATATAAATTTTAAGGGATGTTTTCTTTTTTTAACCTAATGAGATTTTTTGTTTTGTTTTTCTTTTTAGATACTTTTTTTTTTTTTTTTTTTTTTGACAGGCAGAGTGGACAGTGAGAGAGAGAGAGACAGAGAAAGGTCTTCCTTTGCCGTTGGTTCACCCTCCAATAGCCGCCGTGGCTGGCGCACCACGCTGATCCGAAGGCAGGAGCCAGGTACTTATCCTGGTCTCCCATGGGTGCAGGGCCCAAGCACTTGGGCCATTCTCCACTGCACTCCCTGGCCACAGCAGAGAGCTGGCCTGGAAGAGGGGCAACCGGGACAGAATCCGGCGCCCTGACCGGGACTAGAACCTGGTGTGCCGGTGCCGCAAGGCAGAGGATTAGCCTAGTGAGCCGCGGCGCCGGCCAACATTATCTTAATTGGACATCAAAGTTGGACAAGGATTTAATATTTCTGGAACAGCTTATAGAAATTTGAAATTGTCTCATAATAAATATTTGTTAGAATATGCCTGTAAAACTTCCTGGGATTTTACTCTCTTTCTGAAACTATTTTAAATTAATGATTCAATTTTTTATTGTTCTAGGGTTATTTAGGCCCTTTATTTCTCAACTTTGGTCAGTTCTGGCAATGCTGCATTTCATTAATCTATCCAGTGAATTAATCTTCTTTGTAGAGAGACACTCCTATGCTTTCTTATTAGTCTTTAATGTTTAGCAGATTTTTTTTTTTTTTTTTTTTGGACAAGCATAGTTAGGCAGTGAGAGGGAGAGAGACAGAGAGAAAGGTCTTCCTTCTGTTGGTTCACCCCCCAAATGGCCACTACGGCTGGCGCTGCGCCGATCCAAAGCCAGGAGCCAGGTGCTTCCTCCTGGTCTCCCATGCGGGTGCAGGGCCCAAGCACTTGGGCCATCCTCCACTGCCTTCCCGGGTCATAGCAGAGAGCTGGACTGGAAAAGAAGCAACTGGGACAGAATCTGGCGCCCCAACTGGGACTAGAACCTGGGGTGCCGGCGCAGCAGGCGGAGGATTAGCCAAGTGAGTCATGGTGCCAGCCAAGATATGTTCTTGTTTCTTCCTTTTCACTTCCAGTATTATTTATTTTTTCTTTTTGTTTCTTGTTTAATTATTGCTGGAAGCTTTATTTTAGTAATTATTTCAAAG